GACAATCCTACTCAGACAACGAGGGATCGCCTAAGTAAGTAAGTAAGTTATATACGACTCATAGTTAAGAAGGGAAGTGAGACAACAGGGAAGGAAAAAACACTCCTGAAAGATGGGAAAAGGTGTCTCCGCTGAAGCTTTATCACCAATCCTTGTTTCCGCAACAAGCCAACATTTTCAAATTTTCACAAGTACAGAAAGTGATGTGAAATCTTTTAAACAGGGAACAGACTGCAAAACAAACGGGTGTTGACCCTTTCCTATGCTATCCAAAGCTAAAAAAAATTACAAAGCTAAAAAATGTTCCAACTTACATACACATTCAACTTAAGAACAAGCCTACAGAACCTATCTGGTTCATAACTTGGGGAGTACCTGTAGTTTCACCAAGTTTCAATTCAGACAATGATAAACAATGATAAACATAAATACAAGATGACTTGGGGCCCCAAAGCCTGTATGTGATGTTGAATGGGAGCTCTGTGTATGTGCGTCTGTCTTGTGTGATTGCATGCACGCAACAAGTGAACTTTCCTTGCTTGGGAACAAAAGGAGATCTTGCTCACTCCTGCCCTGCTGTCTAAGGCAACTCTTAACACAGAATGCTCTTTCCTCGCCGCTGGCAGAAGCGAGAGTGCAATCTGTATTGATTTGGCTTGGGGAGGAGGAGCAGGGCACCCATTAGGAACCATGCTCGAGGCCTTAGGGAGCTTCAGGTTGCGTATCCCCTTTTAGCTGCACATGAACGAGCCATAAGTGCATACCCTGCCCTCTCCTTCCTGCCTCTAGCCCAGAAAGATACAAATAATCTGCTTCTAAATTACATGCTGGTTCTTATATATAAACTGGATGCGCTTGTTAACCCTTATGTGAACAAGATGGGATTATACATTCCTGGGTGACCCTGGATTGTCTAAACAACTGGTAATTCAAACTAGCCACTTTTCAATTTCAACATTTTATTATGGTCCAAAGACCCTTATTTTACCGTAGGCATACAAGGTTTGCAGGTAATGAGATTAAGAACATCCAGTTGATTGAACACACAAATGGATAAAATTTACAACAGATAAAAACTGCTTAAAATACATGTTGGCTAAAAACATAGGTTAAAGACTACAAGAAGTGCTGGCGCGTTTCAGCCTGTGTCTAAAATTGGGAATTGTCTAATTCTGCCTACCTCAGAAAGAAACTTGGTAACCGCCAAGGTCACGTGGGGAAGGTTGTCACTAAGTAGAAACTTCACATAAAATTTCACTGGACTTGCTGGTAAGTTTCTTAGTAGGGAGTTGATTATGTGTGCTCGGGGTTGTTCATAGAAACTGCAAGACAGTAGAATGTAGTAAATGCATTCTACTTCCTGTTTGTTACATGGGCAGAGTCTTTCATTATATGGGGTACCTGCAAATCTCACACGCAGCAATTCAGACGGAAGCACATTGCACCTTGCTTTGGAAAACATCAGTATTTGGCCACAATAATAATGATTTTTTTTTTTGTCGTGTCAGGAGCGACCTGAGAAACTGCAAGTCGCTCCTGTTGTGAGAGAATTGGCCGTCTGCAAGGACGTTGCCCAGGGAACGCCCAGATGATTTGATGTTTTATCATCCTTGTGGGAGGCTTCTCTCATGTCCCCGCATGAGGAGCTGGAGCTGATAGAGGGAGCTCATTCGCTCATTCACCTCTCCCCGGATTCAAACCTGCGACCTGTCGGTCTTCAGTTCTGCCAGCACAGGGCTTTAACCCACTGCTCTAATAACACAGATATCTATAAATCAGTTGTAAATAAGCAATTGTCCTATTTAAATAAGCTTCAACATAGGTACAAGTTTAAGTAACTTCAATAGTGAAACACACAAAATATATACGGTTTACAACATAATTTCATAGGACATATACATCAATGAATATATCAAACTTAAAGGCAGTTCACATTGTGTTTAGTACATTTGAGAATATGTCCATGATCTTACAACAAAAGTTCACATTGTATTCCACAAACTTGAGAGTATCAAAACTGGAAACAGTTCGTGTTGCTTTCAGCCAACTCGGGAGTCCACAGCAAGGTTCCCCGGGTGCTTTTGTGTCCTTGTTTCAAGAACAAAATTCTCTTCTTCAGGCTTGTGGATGGCCTTGAGTATTTTCCGTTGGTCATGGGCGTTCTGTGTGGGAAGTTTGGCCCCATTCTGTCGATGATGGGGTTCAGAACACTCTTTGATTATAGGTGAACTATAAATCATGCGATGTGCGGGGCTTGAGGAATGCAAAGCTGGGGTGAAAATTGCTGGAAGAAACATTAAGAACCTCAGATATGCAGATGACACCACTCTGATGGCCGAAAGCGAGGAGGAGCTGAGGAGCCTTCTAATCAAGGTGAAAGAAGAAAGCGCAAAAGCTGGGTTGCAGCTAAACATAAAAAAAACAAGATTATGGCAACAAGAATGATTGACAACTGGGAAATAGAGGGAGAAAATGTGGAGGCCGTGACAGACTTTGTATTTCTAGGTGCAAAGATTACTGCAGATGCAGACTGTGGCCAGGAAATCAGAACATGCTTCCTTCTTGGGAGGAGAGCAATGTCCAGTCTCGACAAAATAGTGAAGAGTAGAGACATCAGACTGGCAACAAAGATCCGCCTAGTCAAAGCCATGGTATTCCCTGTAGTAACCTACGGATGTGAGAGCTGGACCTTAGGGAAGGCTGAGCGAAGGAAGATCGATGCTTTTGAGCTGTGGTGTTGGAGGAAAGTTCTGAGAGTGCCTTGGACTGCAAGAAGATCCAACCAGTCCATCCTCCAGGAAACAAAGCCCGACTGCTTGATATCGAGCTGCTTTTAGGAGGGTTTCCCCAGCCGGGGGAAATCCTTGAGGACCGCACCAAAGAGAGTCCTGGAAACCTTGGTGAGGCCAGCGAAGCCAATTCCAGCGGTTAAAATATTAAAAATAATAATACCTTACCAAAGCGGAAGAAGTTCAGTGACCGAGGTGTTTATTAGCGATTCAGCTGCAATCGGATGCATTGCAGGGATAATTCCACCACAAGCATAAGCATACAGAGACCGGGAAGCATTTTTATAGCAAAAGTACAGTTTCGCAAATTTGAAATTCCCGCCCGCCTTCCCCGCCCGGCTTGTCGGTGATTGGTGGATGGCCAAACAGCTGGGAGGAGGCTTGCCGAACCTCCCCCGCGCTCAGCCAATCACCGAGCTCCCTCGCTTTGGGCGGACCAATCAGGATCGTCCGGCCACTTCGAGGGGCTAGCGAATCAGGAGCGAGGAGGCGGGATGAAGAAATGACAATGGAGGGGAAGGATTATGACAATCTTGACCAAGAATCTTCCTGCGTCCGGGGCAAAGTCGGGCCAGCGGTGAAGACAGCTATTGTTTGAGTCAATGGGTGGGTGATTGAGCCAATCTGACTTTTCCTGTCAGTGCCGGATTAGCTGAGTTCAGTGAAGAGTTTCGAGTGATATGATCAGGGTTGGGCACAGGACCCCCTGATGGGCAGTCTCACCCTTATTGTCCTTGGTAAATTAGTTTCTGACCGGAGGAAGAATATCACTTGTTGGCCATGCTCCGAAGACAAATGAAGAAACTTCCTGAACTATTGTCCATGCAAGGGATGAGCAAATATGAGTTCCATTGTGGGGCAAATGACCCCTCGGGGCAGCTGTGCACGCTTCAGTCTTTTGCTTCATAGTTTTAGTAGGGCAAAGTTAAAGGGTAAGACAAGCAATGCTTCATAGCAAGATGCATACATACATTCAAATCATAAGCATTTCATAGCAACAAAAACCCCATCTTTGTCCCACATCCCAAGTATATTTAATAAGAGGATTAATTTTCATGAAGAAGCCTGAAGTCCAATGTTTTAAAAGGTCTTTGAGGAAAGTTCATGAGGGAGATAGTATGTACTCAAGTCCAAAATAGGCAGGCAGAGAGTCCAATGATCATTGGGAAGACTGGCAGATGAAACCCCAGCTGTGCTGCAACTGATTCATGCTTTTGTTCCTTGGGAAACTACAACTCTCACAAAGGGCAGAAGTCCCAAGATCCAGCCATTTCCCAAAAGCCTCGTGGGATCCTTGTTGTTGTCAGTGCCTTGGCAATGTGACCAAGACTTAACCCTTGTTGTGTAGTCTGGTGCCCTTGCCCTTTGCAGAACTATAAGTCACTATCCCTTGTTTTTGGGCGGGGGGGTGCTTGACATCATTCTCATTGGAGGGAAGGATACTAGAGACAAAGTTGAAGTACTTTGGCCACATCATGAGGAGACAGCAAAGCCTAGAGAAGACAATGATGCTGGGGAAAGTGGAAGGCAAAAGGAAGAGGGGCCGACCAAGGGCAAGATGGATGGATGGCATCCTTGAAGTGACTGGACTGACCTTGAAGGCGCTGGGGGTGGTGACGGCCGACAGGGAGCTCTGGCGTGGGCTGGTCCATGAGGTCACGAAGAGTCGGAGACGACTGAATGAATGAACAACAACTCCCAAATGACAAAATCATAATTTTTGAGTGATGATCACTCCTTGTGTTGTGAGACGTTTTGTTGCCAAATGTGGTGTGATTTCGTTCATTGGTTCTTTTGTTTTTAAGGTACTCATTATGCACAGAGCATTTTTAGATAGATAGATAGATAGATAGATAGATAGATAGATAGATAAGGAAGGGTTTGTTTTGCTGTCTGTGGCCCTGTTCAGAAGATTTCGCCTCACTTTCTGTTGTCTCGCCCACAGCTGTTAGGAATTGTGGGAGTCGAAATCCAAAACATCTGAAAAGAAGACCCAAGTTGGCCGATGCCCCATTCCCTGTCTTGCAGGAAAGGGGAGGGGCGGGCTTTAGCTTGAGCACGTGACGCCACCCACCAATCACAGCGAGCAGAAGATACGATGGCGTCATCCTCCCCAGGAGGTGGAAAAAGAAAAAAAAAAGCCTCCATCCGGGTTCTTCTTTCCAAAGTGAGAGAGCGAGAAAAGAGACGCGCGGGCATGCGCACACATGCGCGCCGGGGAGTTGAGAAGCAGGCGCGTGCCACAGCGCGTGCGCGGTTGTGAGGCGCTTGGGCTGCCCAGACGCGGTGAGTCTTTCCGAGAGGCGGTGAGTGAGGGAGGCTTTGGGGGAGAGAGGGAGGGTCCTCATAGAATCCCCTTCAAAGCAGGGATTGTGAGACTTTTCTGCCTTGATATTCTGGGTTATATGGCTGTGTGGAAAGGCTGTGTGGATAGCCCAGTCTGAAGGCCATCAATAATCCCTCTGAGGAGCATCTTAAAGAGCTGGGGCCATCATAGAATAGATTCTGGAATTCATAGAATTCTAGAGTTGGAAGAGACCTCATGGGCCATCCAGTCCAACCCCCTGCCAAGAAGCAGGAAAATTGCATTCAAACCACCCCTGACAGATGGCCATCCAGCCTCTGTTTAAAAGCCTCCGAAGAAGGAGCCTGTACCACACTCCGGGGCAGAGAATTCCACTGCTGAACAGCTCTCACAGTCAGGAAGTTCTTCCTAATGTTCAGATGGAATCTCCTTTCTTGCCTTAGTCACCTCCAGATTGGATTACTGTAATGCACTTTACGTGGGGCTGCCCTTGAAAATGGCCCGGAAATTTCAATTGGTACAATAGGCAGCAGCCAGGTTACTAACTGGTGTGACTTACAGAGAGCGGTCTACCATAGAATCAAAGAGTTGGAAGAGACCTCATGGGCCATCCAGTCCAACCCCCTGCCAAGAAACAGGAATATTGCATTCAATCACCCCTGACAGATGGCCATCCAGCCTCTGTTTAAAAGCTTCCAAAGAAGGAGCCTCCACCACACTCCGGGGCAGAGAGTTCCACTGCTGAACGGCTCTCACAGTCAGGAAGTTCTTCCTCATGTTCAGATGGAATATCCTCTCTTGTAGTTTGAAGCCATTGTTCCGCGTCCTAGTCTCCATGGAAGTAGAAAACAAGCTTGCTCCCTCCTCCCTGTGGCTTCCTCTCACATATTTATACATGGCTATCATATCTCCTCTCATCCTTCTCTTCTTCAGGCTAAACATGCCCAGCTCCTTAACATGCCTCATAGGGCTTGTTCTCCAGACCCTTGATCATTTTAGTCGCTCTCCTCTGGACACTTTCCAGCTTGTCAACATCTCCCTTCAATTGTGATGCCCAGAATTGGACACAGTATTCCAGATTTGGTCTAACGAAGGCAGAATAGCAGGGTAGCATGATTTCCCTAGATCTAGACACTATGCTCCTATTGATGCAGGCCAAAATCCCATTGGCTTTTTTTTGCTGCCACATCACATTGTTGGCTCATGCTTAACTTGTTGTCCTCCTGTTTAAGGAGCTCCATTGGCTGCAGTTCATTTTCAGGTCCCAATTCAAGATGCAGGTTCTTGCCCACAAAGCCCTGAACGGTTTGGGACCTGCCTACCTGCATGACCGCATTTCTGTGTACGAACCCACACGATCTCTTCAATCATCTGGAAAGGCCCTGCTCGCGCTCCCACCTCCTTCACTGGTGGGGACGAGGGAGAGGGCCTTCTCAGTGGTGGCCCCCCGACTCTGGAACTGGGACATCAGACACGCCCCAACTCTGGCAGTCTTTAGGAGGGGCCTGAAAATGTGGTTGTTCCAGTGTGCTTTCCCAGAATAAGGAAACCTCTCAGCAATATGCCCTCAAAATGCACTTTACCACTGATTTAGGACTGACTGTGTTCCCTCATCTCTCTTTGAAAACCCTATACCAGTTATATCCTACCTTGATCTTGCCCAGCATTATTTTTTAAATTTTAAAGTTATTACATTTGGCCCGGCCATTGGTTTTTAAATGTTTGCATGTTATTGTTTATTGTTTTTTGTCTATGTGATTTATATTAATTGTATTGTATTGATTTTTCATTATTACTTTTGTTTATTGATGTATTGTGGGCTTGGCTTCATGTAAGCCGCACCGAGTCCCTTGGGGAGATGGTAGCGGGGTATAAATAAAGTATTATTATTATTATTATTATTATTATTGTTGTTGTTTGAAGCCATTGTTCCATGTCCTAGTCTGCAGGGCAGCTGTAAACAAGCTTGCTCCCTCCTCCCTGTGACTTCCTCTCACATATTTATACATGGCTATCATGTCTCCTCTCAGCCTTCTCTTTTTCAGGCTAAACATGCTCAGCTCTTTAAGCCGCTCCTCATAGGGCTTGTTCTCCAGACCCTTGATCATTTTAATCGCCCTCCTCTGGGCACCTTCTAGCTTCTCAATATCTCTCTTCAATTGTGGTGCCCAGAATTGAACACAATATTCCAGGTTTGGTCTAACCAAGGCAGAATAGACTTCCCTGGATCTCGACACTAGACTCCTATTGATGCAGGCCAAAATCCCATTGGTTTTTCTTGCCACCGCATCACATTGTTGGCTCATGTTTAACTTGTTGTCCACAAGGACAACAACTCCCATAATTCCTAACAGATAGTACATAGGTTGGGTTGCTGTGAGTTTTCCGCATCTATGGCAGGCACCCTTAGAATTTGTGACGTCTGTTGGAAACTAGGCAGGAGGGGTTTATATATATGTGAAATGATATCCAAGGTGAGAGGAAGAACTCTTGACTGTTGGAGGCAAGTGTGAATGTTGCAATTGATCACCTTGATCAGCAATGAATGGCCTTGCAGCTTCAAAGCCTGGCTGCTTCCTGCTGGGGCAGTCTTTTGTTGGGAGGTGATTAGCTGGCTCTTATTGTTTCTTGTCTGGAATTCCCCTTTATTTGCTTTATTTACTTCCTTATTTTAGAAGGTTTTTTTAAAATACTGGAGAGCCAGATAGTGTTCATTTTCATGGTTTCTTCCTTTCTGTTGAAATTGTCCACATGCTTCTTGTGGATTTCAATGGTTTCTCTGTGTCATCTGACATGGTGGTTGTTGGTATGGTCCAGCATTTCTGTGTTCTCAAATAATATGTTGCGTCCAGGTTAGCTAATCAGGTGCTCTGCTATGGCTGACTTCTCTGGTTGAGTTAGTCTGCAGTGCCTTTCATGTGCCTTGATTCGTGTTTCAGTGGCGCTGCTGCATTTGGGGATCACTATGTAGACTTGGTGCCTTGGACTGCGAGAAGATCCAACCAGTCCATACTTCAGGAAATAAACCCCAACTGCTCATTGGAGGGAAGAATAGTAGAGGAAAAAATGAAGAACTTTGGCCACATCATGAGAAGAAAGGAAAGTTTAGAGAAGACAATGATGCTGGGGAAAATTGAAGGAAAAAGGAAGAGGGGCTGACCAAGGGCAAGGTGGATGGACGGTATCCTTGAAGTGACTGGCTTGACACTGAAGGAGCTGGGGGAGGTGATGGCCAACAAGGAGCTCTGGCGTGGGATGGTCCATGAGGTCACGAAGAGTCGTGGAATGAACAACAATGTAGACTTGTCCACAGCTGCACAGTATGCAATAGATTCCTGCAGAAGTGAAACGATTCCTCTTGTCCTTTGCTGAACAGAGCATTTGTTGGATTTTCTTAGTGTAGATAGTTTGTAGGTTGTGTTTCTTCCTCAGCTTCCCTCTGTGGTCAGTGGTTCCCTTGATGCATGGTAAGAACACTTTTCCTCTGGGTGCATCTTTGTCCTTACTATCATGGCCTGTTTTTGGTCTTGCAGCTCTTCTGATGTCTGTGGCCTCTAGAGCCCAGTTGAGGTGGTTCAGTTCACCTTGAAGGAGGTGGGCTTCACAGATTCTTTTTTTTTTATTAATTTTTTTTATTTCAAAAAGATAATACACCAACCATATATATTGCAGAAATATACACATACACAAACACATACACATATGTAGACAACCCGCCACCCACAGTATAGTTATCCCTCAATCCACCTCCAGTGCTCCCCACCACCTTGGTTTCCATCACTGATCCCTGCAGGATTTATGCACATCTTGTTTAACCCTCTATACTTCTAATTCAATAAATTCCTCTTGTTTTTATTTCTTTAGCTCTCCCGTCAAATATGCTAAGGCCAACTTCCAGTTTCTTTCAAATATTTCATGATTTTCATATTTCAAATTGCTAGAAATCTTAGCCATCTGTGCATAATCCTGCAGTTTATCCTTCCATTTTTGGAGCTTAATGTTTTCTCTCCTTTCCAATCTTTGGCAATTGTAATGCTTGCAGCCACAAAGCTGTACAAACAAAATTCTCTCTCTGGTTGTTCTAAGCATTTCTGAATATCCCTAATAGGCACATCCCTGGGTTGTTTTTTTACTTTGTTGTGAATCATTTTATTTGTTTACTTTATTATTCTTTTCCAATAGACCTGCACCAGTTCACAAGACCACCATACATGGAAAAAAAGTCCCTTTCTTTGTTTTGCACCTCCAACAGGAACCTGTTTGTGAATTGTCCAGATTCTTTTTCCACAGTCTGCCAGGGCTTTAATTGTGCTTTTTGCTTGGAGTTTTTATGTAGATATCTATCAGTGTGTGTAGGTTTTCTATAAACTATGTGGCCCAATTGTTGGTTGGGTTAACAGTGACTAGTACATGAATCAATCAGTGCCAGCTAACACCTCCAAAGGATTCCCCCAGGCAGCAATCAGCCAGGCTTTGAAGGAGCAAGGCCATTAAATGCTTATCAAGGTAGCCAATTGCAACATTCACATTGGCCTCAAGCAGACAAGAGTCCTTTCTCCCACCCTGGACATCATTCCACAGATATATAAACCTCATTTCCCTAGTTTCCAACAGACCTCACAACCTCTGAGAATAGTTGTCATGGATGTGGCAAAACGACAGGAGATAATGCTTCTGGAACATGGCCAGATAGCCCAGAAAATTCACAGCAACCCAGTGATTCCAGCCATGAAAGCCTTCGGCAGCCGGTAGGCTATTAGGAACTGTTGGAACATCTGGAGGGAGGGCTCAAGTTGACTCATGCCTGATTTAGCCTGCAGGAGAGAAGGATGAGAGACATGTGAAAGGATGGCCTCAGCAAGCTTCTTTTCTGCTGCCCTTGAGACTTAAGACTCAATGGAGCCATGGGTCTAAATGACAGGAGAGGAGATTCCTCCTGAACATTAGGAAGGACTTCCTGACTGTAAGAAGAGCAGCTGAACAGTGGAACTCTCTGCCTCA